GCCTCCTCACTATAGCACTTTAATTTCAAAAACACAAATTACTGTCTCGATAAATGAGCTATTGAGCCTCAAGTTACCTACACCTAGGTTGAGCATCACCCTCTGAATGAAGTCGAAGGTGTTCTTTAGACTTTGGTCAAAACATGAGGCAAATAGCTTGTGCGTGGCTTTCAATGTCATCCATGACGAGATTACCTTCCAGTATGATACCAGTGCTGGATGTTTCAAGGTGCAGGGCATTTGGACCTGGCTGCTGACTCTCTTCAGGTATAACAGTCAATACTCCAACAGGAACATGTGTGAAATCCGCAGTGGTATCCCAATCCTGCAGATGCAAAGAAAGGTCAAAACTCAGGTGAAGGGCTCCCGGTTAGCTCAGTTGGTACAGGCGTGCGCGTCCCATGTACACCGAGGCTCGAGTCCCTGCTGCAGCGGCCAGGGTCTCGGACATCATCCCCCTCTCTCTGCCCATTTCCTGTCTAATCTTCAACCTCTTCACGTGATCAACATCAAAAGAAAGAATGTGGAATAAAACTGAGGTTGAAGATCGTACGTCCTTCACAGTGTTAAGAACCCTCGTAAACATGCCAAATTAGGCAATACCTTCGCAAGAGATGTCTTGAACCGAAAATCACGCCCGTATATCCCGCCGGGGAGAAACTGGGCACGGCTAAACCTGATCGCCTCATGAGTCTACCAGCTGAGGAAAAGCAGTTAAACTAAGGAAAAGCTATTTCCTAAAAAACTGCACGTCACATTTTTCCAATTCAAGTGCATTTAAGGAATTGTTTGACATGTTTGGAGGACCTTATTCCTGTCTTGCTGGCTAGCGACCATAAGGTCAAATATCACCTATCACCCACATTGTCTGTATGTAAATATGGGCCTGTTCCTTGCTGTTAGCTTTGCATATAATAAGCAGACATAGAAGAAGTCAGATGGGGCCTTGGCAAACAGGCCAGGAGAGCGGGCTGCTGTGCGGAGACTCGGAACATTGTCCGGCAAGCTCCACCCTCTCCTTTCGCTCACAAAACCTCGGGCACACGATCTCGTCGCACAGTGGTTCTCGCCACAACATTTTCCTCTTTAGGCATTTCTGAAGATCTCAAGGAAACGGCGGGTACGGCTGGCGGATCCTCCAGGACTCAAAAAGATCCTCTTTGCTTGCACCCTTGCCTGAATCCTCCTGCACGAAACCTTCCGAACGGACAAAACAGACAAACCACAACACAAACGTTCTTGTAC